ACAAATTGATAATAAATTATGAGACCTCACAACGAACTCATTAATAAATTGAACAATAAAAATTATTACATTTTTCCTTAGGCTCTTTTAGTTGTTCTTTATACTAACTAAAAAATAATTTAATAAAAGTTAATAAACTAAAAAGTAATTAATAAAAAGTATTTAACTAAAAAAATATTACATATTTACCGACTGTACTAGGCGTACGTATCTTACTTTGAGATGCATACATCATGTTGTTTATCACGTTTGAAGTCAACATCACGATAAAAACAATATGCAAATTTGGGATAGAAGGTAAGACCGATAGACGATGATTAAATAAAACAGAATGGATGTTTTCTAAAGTGATTCCTATTAAATTCTTTAAATATTTATTAATACACGAACACTTGTTAACAGTGCTACACAGGACGACGTCTTCTACCGAATCATCTGATCGACCCCTTCATTCTATAGGCAGCTCATCATCAGTATATTTTCCGTTAATATTATAATTAAAATATATAAGTAAACTAACTCATTTAAACAATCACATTATGCAAAACACAACTCACGTCATTTTGTTATTTGAAACAATAAAAAAAATCATGATTTTACATATGCCGGTGTTCGATTTCAAATCAATTGGCTATTATCAAACACAAAGTGCGTCTCCTAGCGAATATCTAAATGACATGAACTGCAATTTAACGATCATTGTCCTGATTAATTTTGTAAACGAATAGAATTTTGCGTAAACAAAATTATTGCACTTTGACTCGATTTGATATTTTGCACATTAATTTTCTGATATCAATTTGCAATTAACGATGTTTTGCTTTGAACTTAAAACTTGTAATTTTAGAACAGGAATACATTAAATATTCACTAGTGGTAGGACATCTAGTGGGTGACCCCGCACGGGAAGGTGCTACCATCCTGCCTGTTTCTGCCGTGAACCAGTAATTCGTTCCGATTTCAATGGTGGGGCCGTCGTTGTACTTCAAAAACTTAGAACTTAGATCTCAAAATAGGCAGCAGAATTAACTTGGTTGATGTTTATGGACTTCGGTGTAAACTCGTCCACTGATCAAATAAAAATATTAAAACGACCCGTATGGTCAAGAGGAATTTTCGACTATTTGCTTGAGCACAAATATATTTTCACCAATGAATACCAATAAAACAATTTGGACAAATATTAAAATACATAATAATATTTACAAATCGAACTTAAAAAACTCGGTACTCTATGATTCAATTTACTCACTATATTCAAAGAGAGTAAAATTATTTATATTTTGCTACAATTTTCTTCAATGTTTTTGTTTTCATACAATATTACACCGGTACTAGAGCGCAGTGACACTGTTTTTTATGCAACACCTACTATGAAATAATACTGGGTGTTAGGGGACCGCTTCCGAAAATGAAGATAAACGATAGTACTAAAGACACCTTTGATGATGGAGTTATTTAGACAAATGTTGTAAATAAGTATTTGTGGGATCGCGCGAGTCTGCGCCGCGCCGCGCCTGTGCGTTCGTTGAACGGAGCATCAGCTGTTTTTGATTTTGTGTTTCATTGCTGGTTTTTTTAAGTAAAGTAATGTATTTTTGAAGTTATACTTCTTTAGGCGCGTTATGAAAAATTGATGAGAGTGAAATTTTACGATGCGCGCGCACCGTGACACAAAATTAACAGAATGAAGTTGCCCACTAAATCGCTCATTACAATACGACCGACGTAACTTGGCGAGTCTGAATATAGCCGCAGGTGAACTTTCCGAACCGTACCGAGAATTACCGAATTTATACGATGTCAAGAAAAAGGATGTCCAATATGCGTGTTTGAGGATGTTGTTTAATCGATTTTTTTTTCAAATTGAATAAAATTTGAATAAAAAAGAGAAATAAATTTAATAAAAATAAAGTATAACTTCTTACGCGCGTACATAAATAGACGCACCCTTTTTTTATGAAACTATCGTTTCATTTAGCTGTACTAACATGATGAAGCATAAATAAAGATATAAAAGGTTTTAAAAAAAAAAATTTAATCATGGTCGATTTTTTTTTCCGTCCCATCATCAAAGGTGTCATTAGTACTATCGTTTGTCTTCGTTTTCGGAAGCGGTCTCCTAACACTCAGTATACATACAGTTACATGTGTGCGATTAAACAAAAATAAAATAAGCTAAAGGCATCAATAATAATCTACTCTATGATAATTAATTCGCTAAGTTATTTTTCCGATAGCCATTGTTACAAAATGGAGGTGCAATCGTCATCAGAATCCCTATTTTGTAACGGAGACTGTGTTGTTTGTGGAGAATGTTTTGAAGTATCACTATTGAATTCTGCGCAGTTGTGATTTAATCAGTTTAAGATTACAATAATACGATTACAAATTAACTTATTAGAGATCCGATATTTTAATAACACTAAAACAAGATATTGTTTTTCAAAACTAAGCGTGGGCCGAGATTTCTGAGAACTTTTCTGTAACTTAGATCAACAAAAAACAATTTGAGCAGGACGTTCAATACCGTTATGATTGTAAACTTCAGTATATTTCAAGGATGTTTCGATTGAATCGTTGTTAACTAAATCGTAACATTTAATATTCGACGAATTACTAATTTAAAACTCATTTTTAAGAACGTAACGTTGCTTACATTGACAATATATATAAAAGGTACGAAGAAATTTCCAAATTTAATTTCTTATTTTCCCCGTACCGATGTCCGACAACACTCAACCTTAATATTTAATAAGAAATTTTAGAATGGGCTTAATGCGTTTATATTTTCTAATGAATATGTATGTAAGCTTTTTGGCTACGACAACATCATATAGTTCCAGGAAAATAAAAATAAAAATAAAATATGCACATTGGTAAAGTGGCTCTGGGAGTCCATAAAAATCACGTTGTGAATGTCACAACCCGCCTTTTTATTTTTTATCGCTGGGAACTTCATTACCCTTAAATGAAATTTCTCTTGTAATAGGGAATGCTGTGTATAAGAAAAACGACCTAGCTCACTTTGAACTTTTGGCCGAAATCTTGGCTGCGGTATACCGGCGTAGGACACAGGCCTTAAGTCGGGGACGGTCACCCGACCCGTCGGCTGTCGGTCGGTGGAAGCGTGCTGCGCGTCATGTGGCGTACGCTAAGTGGAGGGAGCGATTGCTGAAGGAACTTGGCCAAACTTCGGCCACCCACCGGCGCACCCTCGATGCCCTGGTACCCGCGCTGGAGGCATGGTCGGATCGGCGTCACGGTGTACTCTCCTTTCACCTTACGCAGGTCCTCTCGGGACATGGCTGTTTCGGGAGGTACCTGTGGAAGGTCTGCAGGAGAGAGCCACATTCGGGTTGCCACCAGTGCGGGCATCCGGACGATAACGCACAGCACGCTCTCGAAACGTGCCCACGTTGGGAGCACTCGCGGCAAGATCTCATCGCGGTGCTGGGGAGAGGCCTCTCTCTGCGGGCTGCCATTGCCTGCATGTTAGAGGATCAGAGCTCGTGGGAGGCCATGGCCAGGTTTTGTAACCTGGTAATGGCGTCCCGTGAGGCTGAGGAGCGGGAGTGGGATCCCTCTTTAGCACCTCAGCGCGGTGGGCGGAAGAAGGCGAGGTGGGCGGCGCGGGCGTGAAGCTCCCGCTCAGCCCCCGTAGGGACTGTCGGGTGGCGGGTGCGGGGGCGTCCGGTACTAGACTGTCGGTCCGGTGGTGGGGCGGTGCAAGGTGGCTTCTGTGTGCCGCCCACGGTGTATCTCCCGGAACGATGTCCTTCGGGATATTCCCGGAGATGAAATCCCGTCTTATCATCAGGACGGGTACCGGCGAAGGCGGACTTTCGGCGCGCAGTGCGGTACCGTAGGTTTGGTGTAGCCGGAATGGTAGAGCTCGATGGGGTTTAGTCGGTAGTTGGTTTTGCGGGGCGAGCGCCTCGCGCGCCTTTTTCAGGCGTAGTCTCCTGCGAGGAATTCGGCGAGGTGGAGGACCTTGGCCCTCCTCGTCTCCCTCTTGCTCTCGGGAGTCGCCGGAGTTCAACATAGCCCGGTTCGTTACCCGTTGTGGTATCCATTTACGGATACCACAACGTTAAAAAAAATTGTAAAAAAAAGGCCATGTCCTCTAAAACTGACTATAATTTGAAGTCTAAAAAGGGTTGAGGTCTGGGCTACATGAGGGCCAGTCTTCAGTTCTTATAAACTCCGGAACGTTGGTTTCAAGCCAGGCTCGGATTACGTGCCGTGTTACCAGGTGCAGAAACTTGCAGAAAAGTCCACGGTATATTTTTAAAAAGTGTATTGCTGAGAGGTTTCACAACATGATCCAAGACAGTATCGTGATACGCTTTGGCTTTAGTTTTCACTCCTTTTTCACAAAAATGTAGTTTTGTGACTCCTTGATAAGACACGCCCCACCAAACCATAAATGACAAAACGAAACAATACGAACGACGAAAAAATATGTGAAATGGCGTAAAATTGCAAGAAGTTTTTAAAATAATATACATGTTCCAAATTCAAAATAATTAAAAAGGTTAAAAAAAGAAAAGTTTTTATGTAACAATATTTATGGCCAGATTATGGATTATCCAGTATTTATGGATATACAAGCTTTGACTTGTACTTCGCTTACCTACGTAACTTTAAAAACAAAGCGAAAGGGAATTTATAAAAAAAAACCATTCGTTTGAAAACGTAAAAAATTGTGTTTATTTATAAATATAATGAAGCACACAGCCAGATAAAGTCACCCGTCGATTGCACACCTACGCGCTCGCAAAAACCATGATAAAGGCACGTTTCGCACCGTGAAAGCCTTTCTGGCTCCGGCTGGCATTCGCGTCCCATCGGTCGTCGCAGGCGAGTGGCTACAAGAACCGCGTACTTGTAATGGACCTTCGTTCCAAAAACAACAATAGAATAACTTGTATAAACGTCGAATCGCAAACCTCTGGTACTGTGCTTTCTATATCAAGTGACGGATCGTCTACTTTCAGGGAGAGTCCTCGAGAATTACGGAATAAAGCTGAGAAGCAGCGGCGCGACAAGCTGAACCAGTCCATAGCTGAATTGGCGTCTATGGTACCCCCTGTCGTCGCTTCTAATAAGAAGATTGACAAAACAGGTGTTCTGCGACTTACCGCTCACTACTTGCGCGCTCACCAGTACGGTACGTCTTACTTATCTATTACCTAATTTTACCTAAACATAAATAATATGGCGAATATTCAATCATATTTCCGGGAGCTACATCTAATTTCATTCGGAGAAAAACAAATTAAATTCACGTAGTTAATGTCAATACTAATAATAATATTTACTAATAGCGCATATATAGTTAGAATTTGTAGCCACTAATATCCATTAACTGCATACTTTCATGTTTGATTGGTGAACGATTTGAACGATACCAATTATAAGGAAGTTTTTATCAAATTATCTTCGATCAATTTACAAGTATACATTTTCTGTTCAAATAATTTCTTAACAGGATTGTACTAGACAAATTATAAACAATTCGAGAATCTGACATATTAGTTCAAGTGCGCTAGAAGTTAAAAAGTATATCACTGTTGAATCCAACTAACGAAATAATCATTGAAATTCCTACAAACCAATTAGTTTTAACTAATTTTTTTATCGTTTCTTTGTTATTAACAAGTACACGAGTTTACAACCCACCTGAAGTTAAGTGAGTACCGGAGTTCGTAGACGTCAGCATTGTGAATACGGCCACCCACTGTGAAAAGTCGTGTGTGGTACATAGTATTTATCATATTTTCTTTTATTCGCCATAACATTGTTTTAAAATTACCTGGTACTATCTGTGTGGTCGCCCTTCGATACCTCCTCCTTAGATTACGTCAGGTCATTTTACATACACCTTTAAGCGTTTATCGCGTAGCAGATGTTTTAGTAATTTCAGCACAAATCACACCCTCATTAGGTTCGGATTACTTTGAATTTAATCTAAAATGATTAATTTGGTATTTGTTCCATCGATGTCTTCTACTTATATTCATTAATACAATATATACTAATTTTTTTTAGATAAAAATAAGCGTGTTTTTTTACAAAATTCACATATGTAATTTCATATTTCAAAAATAGTAGTGACAAACATGAGTTTGCTTAATCGCGGCTAACTGGCTTACAATATCAAACAAAAGCTTACCATAAAATTAGATTCAAAATGTTTTCGCATCATCGGAACATTTAGATTAGACTTAATTAGGTACCTAATAAATACTAGTTTACCACCAGTCGACTATGGAAACAAAGAGAGAAGACAAGAATCCAGATCAGGATTGCAAAAAGATAACAACAGGTGAGCCATTTTACGATAAGGTAGTCAATAAAGCTCAATTGGAGGTTTTTTTTAGTTACTTTGTACTATGAATGGCATGTTTAGTCGTTATTGATTTTGTAGTCAAATGCAAGCTATCAGAGTCTGAACAGCTATTTTAGTTTACTTTAACAAACGGGTCTAGTAGCACCACCTCTTTCTGTGGGTGTCGTGAAAGGCGATTCATCGGATAGTCGGCAGCAGCGTTCTCCAAATATGATACCAAGAGATGTTTTCACCACCAACTTCTACTGGGCATATTGTTTTCCCCCACGAGTAGGTTACACTCTCCTACCATGGAGAAATCATGTGTTCTGCTTTCAAGGATATGACAGTTGTTTTACAATAGGTATCAGACTCATGTCTCAAAGTAGGCGGCGGCATTCACATTGTGATATCTATTGGCTCGGCTAAGCTGCTTGCATCAGTTGATCCGTGGCCGCGTTCACCCATCTACGCAATAAATAAATGAATATGCAATTTCGAAAAGGGCACATCTCTGAAAACGTAAAATGTTCAGGAAATGAAAAAAAAACTGATTATTTTCTAAAGCAGTGTAAAATTTAAAATATTAACTTTTGAGATATATTTTAGTGTTAATTAGCAATTGAAAATTACTGGAATTATTATAAAATGGGTGTAGGTAAGCCTCAAAACTACATGTATATGAAAAAACGTATTTGACAAAATATTCGAAATGTGCCCTTTTCGAAATTTCATATTCAAATAAAAATCAATCTAAATTGCAATCTATTAATCAATAGATTAAACATAGACAAAACACACCGGTTTTCTACAAACCCAAATAATAACTTTTTTTCCCCTAACTAATCGTTGATAGCCTAAGAGGCTATCCCAACTTCACCCGGACCGGAAGGTGAGTTCACGGGCTCAACCTGAGAGAATTGTTGGGAGTAACGCTAGCCCTAGCAAGACCAGTGCTTCGCTGAATCTACTACTTCTTCTTCTTTTTCTCCACCTTATCCCACTAGGTGGGGTCGGCACAGCTAATTTTTAATTTTAGCTGAATCTACTACTATTAGAGTTTTTATCAAAATAGGTAGAAGAATTGCGACAAATGCACCGCACAATTCACTTTTTAATACGCTTTTATTAGCTTCAGACGTATGTATGTTAGTATGTATGTTTGTAACGGAATCTTTGAACATGATTTTGACCCCCTTCAAAACGTCGGTTTAACTCGAAATTTGGTATACTTATTAAGGACCGATGAAAATTTTATATTGAAAAAAAAAATTTGAAAAAATATATTGAGAAGATTAAAATTCAACTAAAAAATGAAAAATAAATAATAGTTTAAAGAAACTAACAAAATACGCTTTTATAGAAAATCCAACTAAAAAATAGAAAATAAATTTTAATAAATTTGAATTAAAAATAGTGCAAGAAAAAAATATTTTATTATAAAAAAGCGTGGGGTGCTTTTCAGGATATTATCAAAATAGCCCTTCTACTCATATCTGTTCATAAAATATTTATAGGTACTGATACCATACACCGCACGCTTTTTTTTACATTAAAATCATTTTTCTTACACTATTTTAATTGAAATTTATTAAAATTTATTTTCTATTTTTTAGTTGAATTTTCTATAAAAGCGTATTTTGTTAGTTTTTTTAAACTATTATTTATGGTATTGGTTGCTGTTGTATGTGGTTTAACAACGTGTCAGCCCTACTTTCATTTATAAACCAATAAAATTTTAAATAGTGTTTTTACCTCCCTTTGTATGAGTAATAGCTCTGACAATAGCAAAAGCTTCGCAATCCTTTTAGAAACTTTTTAGAACTGTATATACAGTCAAAACCGTTTACTGCGACATCGTTTAATACAACATGCCGGTTATAATAACCTAGAACAAAGGTCCCGGCTGAATGTCATATGACCGCCTTATTAAAAATATTGCTTTCTACGACATTGGTAATAACGACATACCTCATAAAACGACCACATTTAAGTAATATTTCGGAGAATTCGATCTGTTAGAACAACCGGCTAAGCTGTATTGTAAACAATTTGAATAGGTATCCACGTTTGTCTTCAATGGCTATTAAAATCAGGAAAGAAAACAAGGATTTAGTTTAGTGTAGGGTCTTTTCTAATTCTTAGAAACAAAACACGTGCATGCAGTAGAGTCAAAGCCCGCTTCTTCATATCTCTTCAGTTAGTTTGTACTTATCTATACACAAGACGCACCAAAACTTTGTAGAGTTATTCGTGAAACTTTCAAAATGTCGCAAAGAAAAAGAAAACAAATTAATAAGGAAGAAAAATCGCGTATTATGTAAATATAATTTTCCAATAATTCCCTATCGATTTGTTTGTACTTGCACGATACACATTAAACATCACCGGTTATACGACTATCGGTTTTTACGACTGAATATGAGCAGTCCCTTCGATGTCGTTATAACAGATTTTGACTGTATTTACATACTTTTTTCAGAGGTGTTCAACCCCGCGGCTGATCGAAATGCTTGAAATTACGCCGTGTTTGCACTAAGCTCATACAAAACATGACTCTTAATTATTTATTACGTTTTTATAAGGCAAATATAACTCACATATCATTATTATTCGTACAAACTGAAATAGGTGAGAGCAAAATAGACGTAGTGTGGGCGGACACACAATTTTCCATGGAATTTATAATTTCAGACCGCTTTTTGCGTCATATGCGGATAAAAATCGATGTGACACTTTCGTTGAAAACTACATGTACATTGCTTCTTCATCTTACTTACTGGAAATTGAAAATTATACATGCTAGTCTTTAAAATGTATACAAATATAGGAAATTTCAAAACATAAGGTATTGCTCATGTGTGCCGTCAAAGTATTAACGCTGCCAAATTGTAAATTTCTTCCAATGTAACGACTGCAAGAAGTCTGCGAGGAAACAAATTACTGAAACGGATATAAACATCAATTATGAAATACAAATAAAGGAGAATTTGGATTTACACAAATAAAGCTGATGTTGAAATTGATAATTTAGTGCTGCTGTGAATTTTAACGTATTTTAATATACTTATTTTAACTTATACTAGAGGAATTTAATAAAACTGATAATTAGTATGACGCAATTATCTTGTATCTACCCGTGCGGACTCACAAGACGTCCTACCACCGGTAAGGTTTATGGTCCCTTAAAAAAATCATGTACCCCGCGTGTTAAATCATGTTCAAACACATGGCTCCTGAGATGTTCCTTTAACCGCGGAAATAGGTAGAAATCACTAGAACTTGGGTTCAATGAATATGCCGGATGGCACGTGCCAAAAAAGGCCTCTGGAAACGTGCTGTCGATAAACGCAGCGGTTCGAGATAATATGGATGAACTCTGCTCTGATGGCGGGAGGTGCGATGATAAAAAGGAGATGAGGGGATCATCTTAAACAATTTCTCAGAGCACTCTTCATGGAACATACGGTACAAAATTCAGAGGGAACCGAAGTCCCTCCGCAGACCAAGAGGTTCCAAACGATCCGTGAGAATGAGATTATCGACAATCCGAACGGCCCTCTTCTGTATGGAGTCAAATGGAAGAAGCTGGTATAATGAATGAAACAAAACAACTATAATTTTTTTTTGATTGCCCTTATAGTCAGACGAGCATACGGCCCACCTGATGGTGAGTGGTTACCGTCGCCCATGGACTTCAGCAATGCCAGGGGCAGAGCCAAGCCGCTGCCTACCGCAAAATAATGAGTTGGCCCCTCCGTTGCTTGCGTATTTCCTCGCGCAACTTTATTATTTGTCCTGTGTACAAAGTCCCCGTAATAGTGGTACCATAATTAAGG